GATTGCATGGGTGCCCTTCAGAGGAGCTCCAAAGGGCCCATGCAGCAAAACACCTCTCCTGGCAAATGCTACATGCAGCCCTGCATGGGACGCACCTGTTCTCAGCTCCAACACTTCAAAATCATGCAGCTGACCTTGCAACATGTTGAGCCCCTCAAATTGCTAAAAAAGCGTAAAGGAATGCAGGTGACATGGTGGCTTGAGCAGTGCTACCCCAAACTAGAAACTGCAAATGGAACAACGCAAAAGGATCTTGGCCCAATGCCCACATGTAAGGCTCCGCAATTGCTTGGAGTGTCCAGAAATCAAGTGCTGATGTTCCTTTCCTTTCGCCGGAGTGCACAGCAGCGAGCACCACATCACGGTCGGCGCGCATCTCCGCGGCTGCAAACCTGAGGAAACATGTAGGCAAGCCAAGGTAACTTCGTGAGTTTGTCACCCACGAAACTGGGCTACCCTCGGATCTCCCGCTAAAGGTTTAACTTTTAGTGGGTTAAATGGAAACTGCCACTAAACACTAAAAGGCAAGCTAAGGAACTGGATGGCTGGGAGCCACCAAGGAAGACAAGGCCAGTGAAGGCTGAATGAGGGCAAGCCACAGCGGAACTTGCATGCCCGCCGCATCCCTGTGCCGCAGGGTTGATGCCTGACCCAAGTTGAACAACTCAAGTAGCCCGCAACCTGGCCCCTGCTAGGTCTGACCAACACCAAAGTTCAAAACACGTCTCTCTTTCTTTCGAGTGGACCTTGAGACGTGTCCCAGCCGCACCTTCCGGCCAGCAAGCATCTGTTGCCTGTGGCCACGTGAGAAACTACAAGCCTCAAGCCTGTTTCGCACACCTCTGCCAACCGTAGTTTCAGGAACTACTTGGCTGGGTGTGTGCCAAAATTGACCCTTAAACAGGTCTTCCTTTTGGTGCCCCTCCCGCCCCCCCCCCCCCAAAAAAAAAAAGAAAGCAAAGAAAAGCGAGGGCGGTCAGTTGAGAACACCACGCCCTTGGCAGTTCCCTTCCTGGCGTCCCCATTAAAAAAAGCCCACCCCAGGGAGCCCCTTAAAAACAGATCCCGGCGGGTTCAGTTGGACACCTGGCGTGGCCAAGCGTCTCCAGGGACAAGCCGTTCCGCCTCACCGCCGTCAGCACAATCTCCCGGTCGCGCTTCAGCCCTGCAGCCGCAAACCTCACATCCGCCCAGCGCAGGGCTGGGGGTCGAAAATCGGGTGGCCCCAAAATGGGGCAAGCCCTGGTAAAATGGAATCATGGACTGAAACCGGCGGTCCCCTGGTGGTTTAATTTGGACCCATACCCAAATGGGGCGTTGTTTTTTGTTTTTTTGTTTTTGTGTTTTGGGGGGGGGTTCCCTTTTCCGTGTTTCTTTTGCGGTTTCGTTGGCCTAAGCGCCGTGAGACAACCCATAGTCCGTCCCGCCTTTCGCAATGAGTCATTCGGTCGGTTCATGGGCTCCGAGTGATTCAGAGCATGTTCAAGTGGCTGTGGGTCAAAAATAAGGTACCCCCAAAATGACTTGGCATGGTACATGGAACCAAGGACTCAAGCCTGCCGGTTTTCGGGTGGTTTCATTTTGGCCTGAGCTCCAAATCTACACGCACCCCGTCCTCAGTTCACTCAAAATGCCGAGGGCTCATGGCAAGCTCCATGATCCTGCTGCTGCTAGCAAGTTGGTGTCATGGTTTCTTGACAAGCGGCAAATGCAAATACGAGCCTCACATCCACCCAAAGGCTTAGCCTGTGGCTTAAGTGGACACCCAATGCGGTTTTCGCGGATTTGGGCTTTGGGTTTTCTCATGAAAATGCCATGCCTTTTCGAGGTGAGTGCCCCATAGTCATGAGATTTGCTAATCTTCGGCGATTTGGCGATCAAGCAGCAAAGACAAAGACCAACCTATGGGTGGCTCGTCATTTTGGAGCTGGTGAACGCTTTGGCCATGTCATGTTTGAGGATCCCTCAAAACGCCACGTCAGCACCCGTACCTTAAGGGGCAGGGAGGTGGGGGTCCCCAATTCCATTTATCTAGTCTTGCTTGCTGGGCGAAACACTTTTTGCGAGTCTGCAGAAAGCCCGCAAGTGCTCACAGAACCGGGCGCAAATGCTCACAGAATTCTACCGGTCCCCAGGCGTCTGCCTCAATGCCGAGGCACTGGAGAGCCCAGCCGTTGGAGCTACGCAACGCTTCGAGCACCACCTAGGCCAGATTTGGGTGCCTTCGCTTTGAGGAAACGTCCATTTGCTTCAGCCCCCGGGAAAAATAAAACATATTTCCAGTAGTGTTAGATTCGCTTTAAAACCAAGAGGGGAACATACAAACATATAATTCTTAAGCAAATGGAAGGACATCGGTGGCTCCTTTTGGTTTCCATAGGTGTCCCTTTACCCTCCCACCAACCACATGGAACCTGACGTTCGGGACCCGGTCCCTTTCAAAGACAAATGGTCTCCCGAACCCCCCCTGTGAGGTTGCATGTTGATCGGCGGGAGGGTAAATACCAAGCAAAAAGCGACCCTCTATTTTGAGAAAGCCCCAATTGAAACGATTTGGAATAAACAAACAGAAAACCCAAAAAGTGATTGAACACCTGCTGCTGGCTTCTCAGAGAACTGGATCTGAGCAGACTCAAGCCTATCCCAGCTGAAGGTCAAGCAGTTTTATAAGATTCCCTCAAATGACTGGTTTGTTCTTTTCCATTTCCCCAGGGGTTTCGTTTCAACAAGCCAAATCCTTGTGGAAAAGCCACAAGTCTCACAGAATTTGAGGGTCGCCGGATTTCATTTCGCCATCCAAACTCCCAACGGAACTTGAGCCAACTGGATCGGATCTTCTCGCCGCGATTTCAGCGGCCCCGGGCCTCTCGATCTTCTTGAAGCTCAGGCGGCGCGTCTTCCAAGGCCTCGACGTCCAAAGCCCCCGAAAGAAAAAAGGAAAAAAAAAACAAAAACGCCATGGCGACTGGTCTGCCCTGTTCATATGCTTTACGTCGCCTCTACACGTGTACTTTCTGGAAACGTGTGTCAAACATAAATGAACACATGTGTACATGGGGGTTGTGCAAATTACTTCTCCTGAAAACTGCCCTTCCGCCGCCCTTTCGCAAACCTTCCTCGCCCATCACAAGTTTTCACTGGTGTTCGGTCAATGTGTTCGGTTCCTGGCCCTTCCGCATCTCTTGCGCCGCCCTTTCGCGTCTCTTCCGCACACAGTGGGAAGCTCATGCCATGTAAGCCTGGAACTTCGGAATACTAAGCCGAATACATGGGTTTTAGCGCGACGCCCACATGTACATAACCCACATTAATGCCAGCATTTAGCATATTCTGCATGGCCAGTACAACACAGCAGCCACAATCATGCGGAGACTGATGGCGCTCAGAAACTTCCCATCACTCTTAAAGATCTTGAGCTCATACCCGAAAAGACCGCCCATGGGTTGGTTCTGCTTCTCTCACCTACGATGGGTTCTGTGCTTTCTCCAGCTGAAAGCTATGGGGTCATGGCCATGGTTCGGGGGGCAGCTGCCCCCCTTTGCAGGGCTCCGAAGGGTTGCCCTGCCAGGGTTCCTGGAAGATCGTCTTCCTTTTAAAGGGACGTCCCGAACGTCAGGCTCCGTGTGAAAGGGCTGGATTTGACGTCTCGTCTGGCGACGGGGAGGTTGTTGTGGTCAATCCCATTGTGATTTGAGTCACGCAGTTGTGATTTTGTTTTTGGAAGGAATGAAATTGGACCACATCCACCGATCTTAGTCCCAACACGTGAAAAGCAGTCAGGACGCATACCAAAAATAGGAAGACCCCAACCTGGGTTGCCCTCAATGGAAACATTGACTGAAATCTGCTGGTTTTATGGTGGTTTGATGTTATGACCTATGCCCAAATCACCACAGAGGGTAACAATTCGGCGGGTAGGTGCTTTTTTTGGGGACTCCGGGGGGTACGATTTCTTCGCCCGAAGTCATGGATTGGCGGTGCCCGGGGGCGTGCGACCCCTCAAAATCTTCTCTGCAAATTAACCTGGGCTGCCCTCAGATCCCCAGCTGAAAGTTTAACTTCTAGTGGCTTGAAAGGAAACTACCACTGAACACTAAAAGGCTAAAAAGCTAAGGAACCGGATGGCTGGGAGCCAAGTAACGTGGGCTACTAGCATGCTCTTACAGAACTCCTGGTAGCTCCGAGTCCGGCTCCCTTCCAACCAGCCAGGCCCAGAACCCATTAGAGGAACCTCCAGGAGAAGGGAACTGGGACACATCCCCTTTCTGAAGGCTCCATGGTACATCCCAGGATATCCCAGGTAGGGGGCTGGTTGAGAGATTCTTGGGTTCCGTTAGAGAGCCCCGAAGAGAAAAGGGATTCCAAGTTCGGCTACATTCCTTCAAGCCTTCTGTGGTGAATTCCGCTTTCGGACTCGGACCCCTCAAGGGGTGTTCCATGCAAGCCTCCCAAACCGCGCGCCTCACCGTTGGATTGCACCACCGTGAGGATGAAGTCCCGGTCCAGGATTCGGCCCTCGGTTAGCCAAAACGAAGGAACGGAGGTCGGCGGTCCTAAAGCCCGAGCAAAAAGATCGAGAGAGAAGGGGTGCCAAAACCAGGGAGCCGGGGGCGTCTTTTTTCGGAGTCGCTGCCCCTTTTTTTGGTTTGGGTTTTTGAAGAGGAAAGCCAGAAGGACAGCCGCCATTCGATGTTTTGTTTTTCTTGGGGCGGGGTCTCCGAAAAACAGAGGCCCGGAAAGACTTGGAGCTGTCGACTTCAATGTTTAAACAACTTCCCGCAAGAAAGGAACCTTCGCCACGGAAGTCAGTTCGACCTCTTCAGCTTCATGGCTCGGTCTCGGCCCAGCCATTACATCGGAGTCATCTGAGCCAAACCTTTGTCAGGTGGTTCTTCTTTGGCCTGCCCGCAAAAGAGAGATTGGATGTAACGAAGGTCGGAAACTCCGAGGCATCCTGGCTCGCTATCCGCAAAGAACAAACCGCCGCTGCCAAGCGGCTTTGGAGACATGGTTCAAGGCCCAAGAGAGGACCACTCCCTCATCCTGGCACTCGGCATGATCTTGATGTGGGTTTGGCTTGGTCCGTTTTACATAACTACCTCCATTTGCTTAAGTCCCCTGGAAAAACTGAGAAAATAATTCCAGTAGTGAAATCGATTCCCTTTAAAACCAACAGGGGGAAATTTTCAAAAAACAATATTCTTAACCAAATGGAAGACTTTACTTCGTTTCTCGGTTGCTTTCTGCTCCCCTGCTAAAAGTTTAACTTTTAGTGGTTTAATACGGAAGTTGGCAAACAGTTAAAGTCCTAACATCCGAGCAACATGCACCAAAGGTTTTACATCACTATGCTTGGCTTGGTCCGAGTGAAACAGTTTGCACATAACCTCAAGAACCTCGTCCTGCTGCAGGTACTCGGTGGAGCGCTTGATGGCGATCAAATTCCTCGCTTTGACTTCTAAGGAGCCCCGATTTTCTTGGCTGGAAGTAGGACCCCAGCAAAAAACGTGTTTTTTTTGGTTTTTCCTTCTGGGTTAGTTTAAAATAAAGGGGGCCCAAAAACAAAAACAAATAAAAGGGGAACTAATACTGGGGAAGGAATTAACAAAGCTCTTGGTGGAATTACCAGGAGGCATGTCCCCTTTTAGGGGGGGGTTTACTTTTGGAGGGGAACACCCCCATATTAAAAGAACCGGCTGCTTAATCTGGGGTCAAGACTACGTGAAATGGTCGGATCCACGCACAAAACGTCGCGCGCACTCCGTCGTCTTCTCGCGCGTCAAACTCCCATCGAAACAAGCTTCCCCGAACGGGAATCCTTACGTTTGCATTGTGAAAATACTTGGGGCGTTCACTGTGTGCATCTCGCCTCGCTTCGCGCGTGTTTGTGTTGTGCCCGCCCGCTTCCTGGGTGCGGAGCCAAAACCAGGCCGGAGAATCGATTTACCGGGTTCATTTCAAGTGTTTCGCTTTCTGGTGCAAAAAGGCACAATGCTGCTAACGGGAACAAGTACAAAACTAACTATAGGCTAGAAGCGTTTCCGTTGTCCGAAACCACCCTGCCTCAAGGGGTTGTTCCAAGTGCAAAGCAACTGCAAGTGGCTGCGCGGACAAGTCAGAAGGAGTGACACATTTTGCTTTTTTTCAAGTCCCCTCAAGGCACAAGCTCTCTGGTTTGAGCCCTCGGCAATGTTGACCCAGGATTAATAAGCCCGTCCCACTATTAGAAGGGTGTTCAGAATGCCCACTAAAACAAGACACCCCCTATTAATCAACCACCTAGATAGCCAAGTTGCTGTTTTTTCAGCCACTGTTGCTGGTTTTTGGCAACTGGCGATCTAGGCAGGGGTTTATTGATCCGGGGTTAACATTAAAAGGAGCAGCCGATCATTGGCCCTTGCAAGCTGCGATGCCACAGCTGAGCGATAAGCCCTGCGCGCCGTGAGCAGCTCCTAACGAAAACAACGAGGAATCGCGCCTGGGGGCTTTTTATGCAAAACTCCAGTTTTGTTTCTTTTTTTGTTAATATGAATGAAAAACACCATCTGCACCCCTAGAAACCCAGAAATACAAAGTGATAACCTTTTGGAACCTGAACTAAAAATGGGAACCCAAACCAGGGAAACCAAAAGGTGGAAAGGTCGGCTTTGGGCAAGTGGGCTGTTCCGGCTTGGGGGAACACCACTTTGCGCACCGTCACTCCAATCAACATCTGCTTCTGCAACATCAACCCAAAGCTGTGATCTGATTGCGGCCACTTGCTCTGCCCCGGGACATGCATCCAATGCCGATGTATGGCATTTGCGAAACTCGGTGGTACTGGAACCAGTTGAGCTGAGCTGACTTCGAGGGATATGTTACCCATCGTGAGCCCAAAGCATGCGAACCAATGAAGAACGCAAAATAATTCGGGAATAGAAACTAGCAACAACACACGGCAGTGTGCATGAATTTCGGCGATTTGACTGCCGCATCACTCACCCGGACGGAAGCATGCACGCCGCGCTCCGTTAGGATCCGATGGCCATCAGATTCTAAACCCTCTGTAGGCATCCGGAACCCTCAGTCATGTTTGTTCTGTTGAAACTTCCGCCAGCCTGAGGCTTGCAAGCTCGAAGGTGCAACCAATGAGCAGAGCAGTTGGGTCTGAACAGCTTTCTGGACAAAGGTCCTGCGCAAGCTGCTCCAGCAGTATGCCGTCCTCCTGCGCGCCCAGAGACTATCCAAACATTCTGGCATCTGCAAGGAAATTGCCTGAAACTCCAGTGGTTTCAGAACACCCCAGCCTATGCAAGAGCCACAGCGGCAACTGCATCCGCTGTGTACATGAGGGGGCTCCCATTCCGTGCCAGCCCCCGGGTCCTCAAGGCCCTCTAAGGCCACGTGGGATTCTTGCAGCTCTCGCTGGACAGCAGCGTGGGACAGGCTGTGGCCATGCCTGCGGCGGAAATTTCGGGACGTGGCGCGCACATGGCGCAAGCTGCAAACAGGACCCACAGAAGCCCCAGCCGGAGCAATGAAAGAACCAAACAAACATCAAGGCAGCAATTTTCTGACGCGCCAAGATCTAACCAGGAGACGTGTGCAAAGGAAACACAACCGTGTTGGCAAAGTGGATCATGGCCAAAGGCTGACCCAAGCACCACAAGGGCAACCAGAATGGTGGGTCATTCTTGCCGAACAAACTTGGAAGAACATGTGGCCACGGGTCAAAATCCCGTACCCCCAGTGAACATCCCAATCCCAACTAAAATAGACTAAATTGGTGGTGCACCTACCCCAAAATGGTGCCATTGGTTTTGACCCACAGCCATGTGTCACTGTTCTGAAACATCGGCTTGACCTGGCCACCGCGGCTGGATCAAGCCACCTACATGCCGCCCCAACCACGCCGGCTCCAAACCACGACCAAAGCGTGAGCCATTCGGCCTCTGCAGCTGCAGCAGCTCTTGTTCCCGGAGCAAGAGCTCCTGACAGGTGACGCCTGGCCTTCTGAGCGCAGCATGCAACAAGTTCTTTAGCGGAATGGCGACCAAGGGCGGGCTGCAGTTGGGCCGCCGGGGTCGGTCCTGAGGCCCACCACTGTGGGAAAAGTGGTTGAAACAAACCCTGCCTCAACACGAAATCCTTCGTGGTTGTCTAGAACCCCAAGGTCTCTAGCCATGGCCATCACTAGCAACCCATCTGGTTGCCCCTTCTTGGAGGAAACCCAAAATCACTGCTAAACCAGCCACCTCACGGGTCAACCTGGACCTTGGGCCGATGAGTCCTGAGCATGCGCGACAGGGAATCCACTGTGATACAACAGAAAGGGCCTCCCAAAGACCAACTCTCTGCTTTTACCTTCCCAATCGGTAGGTTTTTGAAAAGAACGCCCGCCAAAACTTCGAGGGGATTCCCACAATTATCGCAGAAGTGGTTATTGGATCAATTGCGGGTAATCCCACAGCCCTGCCCCAGACTCATCAGCTCATTTGAACCTGCGCCCTGCTGAAGCCTTCCAACCCTGAGCTCATGGGGGCTGGGGGGGGGAGGGAGGGGAGGGGGAGGGGTGAGCCCAAATACGCCCTTATTAAGCCCTGAAAAGAAACTCTTTTGAGGGCGTATTTGGGCTCCTCCCCCCCCCCCCCCCCAGCCCCCATGATGATCCCGAAAGACTGCAGACTCCTGCTGTTGCTGTAGGACCTCCCGCAGCTCCTTGAGCTGCGCAGTCAGCTCAAAGTGCGAGGGGCCCAGCAGCCTGCCTCCCCAAAGCCGCTTTGGGCACTTTGAAGCCACATGTAGCAACTCTTTCGAACACTCTCTCTCCCCGTCTCTTTTATCTCTATCTCTCTTTCTCTCTCTTTCTCTCTGAATTCATTGGTCTTGGCCTTGTTTCTATCCATAAAAAATACCTCTTCTGTCTCACATATCAGACCTATTCTTTGACATATTCTATCTAATCGATCTATCCACCTATCCACCTATCTGTCGATTTATCTATTTATCTGATCCTTCCACCCATCCATCCATCCATCCATCCATCCAATCCAATCTAATCCAATCCAATCCAATTTATCTCATTTGGCCGGTCCATCGAAACCATGCAATCTATGCAATGTGTATAACCTAAATAATCTGTCGATCTATCTCTCCTTCTGTATGTCTGTCTGTCTGTCTCTGCCTCTGCCTCTGCCTCTGCCTCTGCCACTGCCTCTGCCTCTGCCTCTGTGTCTGTCTCTGTCTCTGTGTCTGCCTCTGTCTCTGTCTCTGTCTCTGTGTCTGCCTCTGTCTCTGTCTCTGTCTCTGTGTCTGCCTCTGTCTCTGTCTCTGTCTCTGTGTCTGCCTCTGTCTCTGTCTCTGTCTCTGTGTCTGTCTCTGTCTCTGTCTCTGTGTCTGTCTCTGTCTCTGTCTCTGTCTGTCTCTCTGTCTGCCTGCCTGTCCGTCCGTCCGTCCGTCCGTCTGTCAGTCTGTGTGGCATCCTTCTATATGTCTAATCTATCTAACGTGTCTATTCTACCTAGTCCACCTACTCTAAACAGATCTAATGTACAAAGCCTATACTACCTACCTACCTACCTACCTACCTACCTACCTACCTACCTACCTACCTGTCTGTCTGTCTGTCTGTCTGTCTGTCTGTCTGTCTGTCTGTCTGTCTGTCTGTCTGTCTATCTCAGCTATCTACTCTACCTAATCTACCTCCTGCACCTATCTATCTATCTGTCTGTCTATCTAGTCCATGTACCTCCTATCCAATCCATCTGATCCATACAATCTATCACATATACGCTATCTATTCATACTTCTACCTATCGATCTACCTTTAAACCTATGGATCAATTGATCTACCTGTCTGTCTGTCAAACTACCTTTCTGTCCACCTACCTAGTCGATCTAATGTTTGTAATCTATCTAATCTATCCAATCCATCTAATCCAATGTTGACCCAGGATTCATAAACCCGTCCCATTATTAGGGGGGTGTTCCCTCCACAAGTGATGAATCCCCACTAAACGGGGACACCCCCTATTAATCAACCAGGGGTTTATTCATCCGGGGTTAACATTATCTACCTATCTAAGCTGCTTCAGATCTATCGAGGTGGAGTTTGAAGTTCGCCGTGCTCCGTCGCTTTCTGCCTCTTCTGCGCGTCTGTGCTTCCTTGTCTCTGCTCGGTTGCTTTCTGCTCCCCTGCAAAAAGTTTAACCTTTAGTGGTTTAATGGAAAACCCATTAGTTGGAAAAAAAGTTAAAGCTAACATCCAAGCAAAATGCACCAAAGTCTGTATCTGCGCGCGTCTCTATCAAATTGTGGCCGCGGCAGATTCATCATGCCCCCGTTGAGGCCATCCTTCCCCCAGCCACCCAGGCAAAATCGACACCTTGCGGCGTACAAGTTACGCCCACATCACATTGTTGTTTTTTCCCGAGAAACAAAGCTCGAAACTACGCGGCTAACCCCTACACCGATCCACCAAATGGGTGTGTTGTTGTTGAGGGAGCCCTTTCCTGATGGTTTAAAATGGAAACACCGTAGCATCTTGTGGGTCCAAAAACAGAACGTGGAGCCACCTGAACGAAGAAGTTTAGCCGCTCAAACGTTGCTCACGATTTCGCAAAAATGGAACCCTGGTACATGGAAACATGGACTAACATCTGCGGTCCATTTCCTTGTGGTCCAACAGGGATCCTTACATTATACACCTGAACATTGCCTTGTAAATTGTGCTTTTTTTGGGGGTGGAAAAAGCAACATGTTTCAAATGGTTGCACAACTTATCTTTTAAGGAGCCCTGTTTCATTTTGACCCATCCCCATTTCGCTCGTTTCGCTTAGCTGCTGCAGCTCATGAGCATCTCCCCGTTGATGTTTGCCGAGGAGAGCAAGCCGCTGCGGCAGCGCATCAGGTCCTGGGACGCAGGTTGCCATGGGCGCCGGCTGGGCAAACCGCGCATGTGCCAAAAAAGGTTGGCATGGTTCCTGGATGCCGAAAAATGTTCTGACACCAAGTCTTGATCATGGGTACTGGCATTATGGGAGGCAGAAAGTGAGCGGAGTGTAGCCTTCGGAATGGTGTAATACGTTCAGCTGCTTGAATGCTCTAGGGCGAGAACTTTGCGCATGTTCTTCAACACGCTGAAACTCGTTTGCGGTCTCCTGTTCAAAAGCACCCACTAAATGTGTCTTCCAAAGTATAAAGTCCAGGAACTCGAGTGACTTGGGCAAGGCTGGTGTCAATGGCTCGAGTCCCGAGATCCGAACCCGCCTAAAATCACTTCTCTTTGGGAATCATTTCCCAAAAAAGAACAGTTAACCGACTTCTCCTTGGAAACTGTGCTTAAAGCTGACGCGCTTTTGGCCATCAACACCTTGTTTTTTTTTGTGGGGGGCTGACGCGAAACATCGCCGGCATTCTGGCGGTATCCCCACCTCAGCAGCGCGGCGAGAGCCCTTGGAGCTGCGGGGGACCACCTGGCAGTGACGAGCGACTTCTTTTGGGAGCGAGTGGGGAATCATGAGCTAGTAAAGTGGGATTGAAATTCATGTGGGCTCAACAATACCACTTGTAGTGTCTTTCCCAAAAGTTTTTAAAGTCCAGGAACTCAGCCATGAGGGACCCGCAACTCGAATACCACTTGTATTTGCGGTTCCCAAAAGTTTTTAAAGTCCAGGAACTCAGGGAGTGAGCAATGGACCTGCAACTCGTGCAGCAAAATCCAGGTCCAACTCTCCCATCTGTCAAACGAAAAACACACAAAAACAATGCACACCTGCCTTTTTCGCTCAGCGCCGTATTTTCTGCTCTATTTTGACCACACTCTCGGGGTGTTGTCTCTCTCCTCTTAAGGACCCCCCCCCACTCTGGATGTTTCTCTCTCCCTCTCTCTCTCTGTTTAGGCGAGCCCCGCCCAAAAAAAACAACAAAACTCGGTGCTCCTTCTGAGGCTTCCCTTATCAACCCCCCGCCCGGGACCGGGACCGCGGTCTCGCCTCGAAGACCACCTCCCGGTTCCTCCGCAGCTCGCTGGCAGCCGCCTCCAGGCCCGCCGCGCTGGACAGGACCTCTCGTCCGGTGCCATGGCGGATGAGGAATGGAATGGGCCATGCTGACATGGGTTGAGGTGGGGGTGGATAACCCCACTTCACGACTTCCGGACCATAAGGGAGGAATCAAACACATAGGGGATGGTGCCTTTCTCGTGGTCATTCCATTTATCATGCGCTCCATTCAAGAAATTCCAGAAGAACAGATCCTTGCACTTACGCAATGCAAACGCACAACCAAAGGGCAATCAATGAATTTCATCGTGGCGGTTTTTGGACATTAGTTTTGATTCGCCCATTAGGCACTCCAGAGCGTTGGACGGACGGCACTTCTTAAACCCAACCCATTCCTGCCTTCAAAATCCAGTAAGCGCCGCCCGTAAGTTGGGGTGGCCTAGAGTTATTTCTTTTAGGCGGGTCAAGCTAGTGCCTTCCCCTTATAAAAAGATTGGACTATCCACAACTGCTTGATCAATAATGTTTAAGCCGATGATTAAAACAACGCAGTCCCAATCGTGGCTTTCGCCCAAAATGGTTGCGTGTGTGTGCGTGTGTCAGTGTTTTTGTTCTGTTTCCGGGGAACAGATTTTAAAGGTTGGTTCAAAGGGAGCTCCCGCGGAAAATAACAACCTTCAGCCGCTTTGGGGGAGCCGTCCCAAGCTTCCATTTGGTTAAGACCCCTGGAAAAAAATCCAGTAGTGATAGATTCCCTTTAAAACCAACAGGGAAAAATACAAAGATATTCTTAAGCAATTTGAAGCAAGTAGCAAGACACAAACAAACAAAAATCCGTATCTCAGGCGCGGACCATGGACGTGGCCTTCTTGAACTTCCCGGTCCTGAGGGGTTTCGTTTTAAAGGGACCCTTCCGTCAGGTTCCGTGTTGATTGGTGGGAGGGTGCTATTGGCGTGGTTTCAAACAGAAACCACAACGGAACTTTTCCGATTTTTGCGGGTGTCCCCTGAAAGAAACAAACGCACCCAGACGGGGTTTGGGTGGACTTGTTTCAACAATGACCGGCCCAGGTTTAAGAAAGAAATCAGGGCAGCAAACGGCACTGCAGGGTTGTGGGAAATGACCACTTCTGTGATACAACAAAAAGGGCTTCCCAAAGACTAACACCCCATACCTGGACCTTCTGGAGGTCCAAAATTTTAGGCGTTGGCAAAAAAACACGTGTTTTTTGCCTTTGGTGTGGAAAAAATGCTTTTAGGGCGAAAAAACGCCGGCGGTCATATTTGTTTGCGCCGCGGTAGGGAATGTTCGCCTGTTGGTCGGGAATTGTCGCCTGTTGGTCGGGAATTTTCGCCTGTAGATTCGGGGAGATTGAGGGTAACACCCAAATTGAGCAAAAAAAGGCCGTAGGCAAAAAACACGCGCAATTGCCCCAAAAAGCAATTCGTAGCGAAAAGGCAGAAATTTTGAGCATGCAGGAAGGTCTAGGTATAGAGGGGGAGATTCCCTTGTATCACAGAAGTGGGAATAAACCCCTTGATCCCACAACCCTGAACGGCACCGTTGCAATTCAACGCCAAAGCGAGGACTGCTCCGCCACGGCGCATATCCGCAAAGAGCTGAAGCGCCTGCTCCTTCCTCAGTTCGAGAGGGCCAAACTGACTTGGTTGACGTTGGGTTTGGGGAGCAAAAACCTTCAAATTTTAGTTGGAACGGGAGCAAAAACATATTTTTAGCAGTTAAGTGGTTGGATTTCAACCACTAAAACACAACATGCAAAAATTGGCAAAATGTTTCCCAACAACAACCATGCTGAAGTCCAGTCACGCCGTTTCAGCCGCGGCACAGGGCGTGAGCGTCCTGGGCCGCGGCGTCCCGGAGCAGGCCCAGGGATTGCCGAGCTCGAAAGAGACTCGCCACGTCCCCAGCGCCCAAAAGCTCCTGCAGCGCCAAGGGAATGGACCCGGGAGCTAAGTAGAAGATCTCTGATTGCCCGGGGCGTTTTCGCTCCCAGTGGTCTGAATCCCACCCAGCGACCGGTCAAAATCAACTCTGTTAACGGGCTTTTTAATCTCTCCGTTCCCCGTCTCTCCAACAAGCATGGCTTTTCTGACAGGAGTTTTGGGAAGGCAACCGTCCTTTTTAAGAAGGTCCCTGTCTTCTCTGATTTCTCTCACTCGGAATCGTGTCTGGTGGAATTGTCAATGATCTTACTTTCCTCCAGGGGCAGCGGGGGGGTGGGGTGGGGCTTGGATCCGTGTGACCGAATTGACACCGGGCAGTCATGTTACAGTGGCCGGTTCTCTGGCATACTTTCCTAGTTCACCTGCAACCCCAAAAACAAGATCCCCTGACCCGCTTGCCCTGCAAAAATGATTTGCCCCCCGGATCCCTGCTGCATTTAGATTTGTTGGGTCGACGCCAGCAGCGAAATGGGGCGCGGACTGAAGCAGCCAAACGCTATGCATATTTCAGGAAGCCTAGCATGTGCTCCTCTGCAAAAAAGACACTCTGTACGAGCGCATTTCCTACGCTCACACAGGAAACGTCAAATGATGACACAGAAACTGCTGAAATCGGCGACAAGGTGAGAGTACGTTGCCCAAGTTCAGGGGTCAAATCAGTTACGCTCTAGCCAGTTTGCATGTCGGCGCCCAGCAAAAAGCAAGAGTGAGTACATATATATATATATGTATATATACATATATATATATACAAATGTATGTGCAATATGTATAGGAAGCCGGGCCCCGCCATATATGTTGTTAGCATGCCGAGGCATGCACTCTTTTGTACAGAACCTGCTGCAAGCCACAGGTCTAAGCTCTCTTTCTGACTCTCCCTGACCTGAGCAGTTTGTCCGCAAGCCCTAAAGCCACAAGGCTCAACGAATACCCGGTGGATCTGGTCAAACGCGTGGGCTGCGTGGATCAGATCCTCCAGCTCGGCCGCCCAGCTGGCATCGCTCTTGCGCATTGTGATAGTTGCTGGCTGACAGATCTGCTCTCGCAGCACCTGACACACCCCGTGCCCGCCATATCCTGCACAAGTATAAAGCTACAGAAGCTCAAGGCCTTTCTGATGCTTCCGTTTCTTGACCCACCCTCTCAGCAAAGCTGGAGCAAACTCAAACTTCACCTGAGCTTAAAAGAGCTAGCTTTCGTCGTGTACATTTTGCCGGTCTACAACACAAGCTTTGTGTGTTTGCATATAGTCTATTGAGCTTGTGTACTTGCATGTTTGTGTTCATGCTCAACGCGCTTGTGTGTGTGTGTGGAACCTATGGGTCCGTGGGTCTCTGTGTGGGTGTGTCTGTGGCTGTGGCTCTGTGTGTGTGTGTGCGTGGGTGTGTTTGTGCGCATGTTTATGGGTTTTCGGTGTGTCTGCGCGCATCGATGTGTATGTGCTGTTTGAATGTGCGCGTGGGGCATGGGTGTGCGGGTGCGTGCACGTGCGAGTACTTGTGCGCGTGAATGTTTGTGGATGTGTGTGGATGTGTGTGTGTGTGTGTGTGTGTGTGTGTGTGTGTGTGTGTGTGTGTGTGTGTGTGTGTGTGTGTGTGTGTGTGTGTGTGTGTGTGTGTGTGTGTGTGTGTGTGTGTGTGTGTGTGTGTGTGTGTGTGTGTGTGTGTGTGTGTGTGTGTGTGTGTGTGTGTGTGTGTGTGTGTGTGTGTGTGTGTGTGTGTGTGTGTGTGTGTGTGTGTGTGTGTGTGTGTGTGTGTGTGTGGGTGTGTGGGTGTGTGTGTGTGTGCGTGTGTGTGTGCGTGTCCGTGCCCGAGCAGGCGCACATGCTCGCGTGCGCGCGCGCGTGTGGGTGCGCGCGTGTGTGTGGCTGTTTGCACGTAGAGGTATGCTTGTTGTGTGGGTGCACGTGGGTGAGTGCGGTGGCAACCGAACACCTACGCATAGCATCGTAGCATTACACTTGAATAGTTGCGAGTGTGCGTGTGTGTGTGTCACTTCTTTGTGTCTAAGGCCTTCCTAGCTGCTCAGTGCTCACATTGCCTTCGCTCCGGGAAGCTTGTTGCTGCCAAGTGCGAGAAAACTACTTTAAAAGCAACTCAAGCCGCAACCATGCTTGTTGCTACAATGGGAGCTGAACATCAACTGCGCAAATGGCCTCGTTCCAGCAATTTTGAGGCGTTACAGAGTTTTTTTTTCTGAGACCTGGGTGAGGCCTTGTTGAATCGAACTGGCACCTTGAGATGTGTGACACTGGTGGCGATGCGTACCCACCTCCTCATGGCTAAGATGCGTGCATTCCTGATTTCCCATTCCCGACCGATCGAACATGCACAACTCCGCAAAAACTGTCATTCTCAGCAAGCTGAATTGGGGGACTCCCCTTTTAAGTGGGGAAGCTATCCACGACAAACTGTGCAACCTGTGTCCAGCACACAACCAGCTCAACTGGAGCGTCAGCAGGAAACAGTGAACATGAATGGCAACGGAAGGCATGTTAGAAAAATACCGCCTGATTGGCGGTCATTTTCGCACGTCCAACTCAGTGGAAAGCCACAGCCGTGGAAGTGATGTTATGAAAAACTGACGGATAGCCCAACCTGCGGACCCCCCAGTTTCAGGTAAGCTCCAGCTTGTGGTTTGGGTTGGTGGCTTGGGGATGGGACCCTGGTTCTCGTTCCAAACCAGCAATCCAAAACCACCGACGCGAAGTCTCTTGCGTCCCAACCTTGGCAACACGGCGCGCGCCTGGGTGTTCTGCAGCGGCAGGCCATGCAAGGTGAGGATTTGAGCGTCGCCTCCAGGCAAGAAAATAGATTACTTCGAACAACCCCCACCTAAGGAACTTGCAGGGCCAAGCTGGACTGGGTTCCAAAAAGTCCAAGCCTGACCGAGCGCGGGGTCTAAGGCACGTTGATTGCTGACGGCAAAGAAAGCCAGACAAAGCAAAATGGAACCGGCTGTCCTGGACTGTTTGTGCAGCTGTCCGGCACAAGCTCTGGCACAGCTGTCCGTCACACTAGTCTGTCAGGCTCTGTCGCAGCCGTTTGTCACAAGCTCTGTCACGGATGCCTGTCACATCTATTATCTGTCATGGGCTTCGTCGCAGCTGTCTGTCACAGGTTCTGTCGCCGGGCGGGCTGGTTGGCGGTCGGATGCGACTTACGGGTTGGGGGAAAACCGGAAATCCACGTCAACTGAACGAATCTGGTTGCCTACGGGAAGTAAGGACCCGCAAGGGAGTCGTGGCCAAGCCACCAATGCACAGCCAGTCGTATTGTGAAGAACACTGAAGAAGTAAACGTGCCAACACCATGCGATACATTGAGAAACCTGCCCCTTTGGACCCCCATCCTTTAAGCGTGGCCGTTTGCGAAGCGCAATCTTGACCAATTTTCGTTCTCATAGCTCGGAAAATGTTTGCCAATCTCGTGTGGCGATTTTGTACAGGAGGAAAGGAAGTACCGAAAAGCATTGCAAGTTTTTTTCCCACCTGAACAAAAGAAAAGGGTTAGGAAATACATGTGTTTTACGTTGTTTTCCAGTGAGCAGCTAGATTTGGCCGCCAGATCCAAGGCAAGGATATCAATGCAGGGAATAGCAAATTATGCCCTGCCAGTTCTAGAAATACAAAGGCCATGCTAAACAAAGGCAGCCCCAAACTTCCACAGCGCTCTCGTGCCCCCGACCTCGCCCATTGCTTCGGCAGCTCGCAAGCTGCGAACTTTGGAGCGAAAACTGCCGCTGAACCAACGAAAAAGAAACGAAACACCGGATGGGCACCGGATGGCTGGAGTGGGCACCGTGGCTGATGCTGGCCTGGAGTGCCGTTGGCCAACTCAAGCTGCCCTTTGATATGGCCAACCGTCGTGGTCGCATCCACCTGTGTCTCCAGGACGAGCCGCCCTGCGCGCTGGATGGCAAGAAGACAAAAGCGTGTTTAGCTAGCAACCGGATAGCGAGCGTCCGCGCAAACAAATTGAAACTTTTGGCGAAACTTGATGAAGCAACTGGAAGGTCATGGCAATGTTCCTTTAATTCACTGACTAAACAATACGTTGGGACACAACTTGGCGCATGCCATACCGCACTGATTTTATATGAAAAGGGACTTTTCCTCGCGAATGCCTGAGCCATATACTTGTAAAGCAATTGTCTGATGACCTCCTCTTACCAGTTCTGTTTGGCTGCTCTGGCCATATTGGGTCATCTGTGTGAAAACATCTCAGAACCTCATCGGTGCAACATGTTGGACCAGAATGGCCAAGCATCCCATCTGCAAAAAACAGATGCTGGCACCCAGGAAACCGTGTCAAAAACCAAGCTTGTGATCAAACATTCGCACTGCAGGTCTCTCAACTTTGCGTTTGGGTTGGAGCTTTGAGCCGGATGTGAATCCTCGATTTCCAAGACCCCTTGCCTGTCCCCCCGCCAGTCCCGTGGCTGCCTGGTTTCAATGGCATTTGATTCCACCCCTCTGCACTTCTACCGGGCGTGCACATTCTACCTGATTCGGGCTGTCATGGGGTGCATTGGCAAGAGAAAAGCTGCACTGCTAGGACACCTGGTGCTCAAACTGTTCGTGGCAGTCGGAGAAACAAAGCAGTTACAGTAGTTGCTTTCTCTGAGTGATTTTCAGTGAAACATTTGTGACCCCCTGCACCTTGCTGGATCACCTTCAAAGCCACCAGCTCGTGCAGTTCCAGCGGGGGTGAAGCCTCCTGTACTAAAGCGGAGGAGGCACTTGACCATGCGGAGACTCAAATCACTTGGAGGCAACTTCAGGACACTCGCACGGAACACATTATCCAAACTGATAAGACCGCCTTCCTTGTGTCGCAACTTCTTCTTCCCCGAAAAAGAAAAACAACACCTCCGGCGATATCCCCAACAGCACCACGCCCTCCCAGCACCCTCGCGGAACCCTCGCGGAACTCTCCTTGGAACCGCCCTATAACCCCCCCCCCCCCCCGGATCGGCTCTCCTCCTCGGCCTCGAAGAAAGTGGCCTCACAGCCGGAGTCCTGGCCCATCGGGTGCTAAATGGATGTGGTTCAATTATCGGGTAACCCCCAAAATGGCTTGCCCTGGCAAATGGAAACAAAGACTAAAACCTCCCCGGAGTCCCCGGGTGATGTAATTTTGACCCATGCCCAAATATTGAGGCGACCTCTTTTGACGGTTGCAAGTTGGAACCCACTGGCAACATGTGCTCCTCTAGGTGTGTCTGTTTCCTGTGTTCTTAGTTTTCTTTTGGGGGGGGGCCACCCATATGTCGACCTGGGTGTCAAATGTCAAATGCGGCTAGAAGAATAAAACAACACGATCTTCCTGTTCATTGAAGCAAGCTGCAGTGCATGCAGATTTGCACGTATTGTGTTGAAATCCTTTGCCTTTGAGACTCTGGCCTGTGTTGTATGGGGTTAACTTAGCACCTTCACGTTGACCCCATAATCCACCCCGGTTTAATCATTTCGAAGTGTTCCCCTCGAAAAGTGATTCCAACCAAACCCAGCCAGGGACCCCTTACCATAAACTGGTTGGTGGATTCATATGGTCAATTGGTATTTTACCATCGCAGGAGCTGTTGGACCTTACCGCTGGCATCCGACGCGTGGCGGATGCTCGTTGAGTCGCCTTTCAGCGCCCCAAAGGTCAAAGGCCCGGGAGTCGCATGAGGCTGCCATTCTGCTGCCTCGAAGCCGGGTTCTTTGGGAGCTCCAGACGAGTGGCCGGGTCAAGCACTCGGGTGCCGTGCGCCGCGCCGCGCCTCCGTAATTCCGGGCCAATCATGGAAACAGTGCTCAGCTATGAAGAAGAGCTCATGCCAAGCTCAGGAAGGGCCAATAGCGGCCAAGCTCCAAACCTGAGCAACACGCTAAGCCATGCCCCAAGCGCTCCCCCGACAGATCCCCCCCCGACGGATCGGCTCCTCGCCGGTCTTTTGGCGGGGGACGACCTCCGCCGCCCGCGGGGCCATGAGCTGTGGGAGGGCGCGAAGGCCCCTTCGCTTCTCAACGCCTCTGCGGAGGTACCATGCAGCAAGGCGCCAAGAACTGCATGCTGTAAAAAAAATGTGGCTTGGCTCACATCACCAGAACCTTCCGTTCATTGCCATGGGGGCATACATCAATGCAAGGCTCAGGGCGTCCACTGGAAGCATTGCGCCTCAAACGATATCCGTCCATGTTTTGTTTGGACAAACCACCCAGGCGACCGATTTTTCAATTTCCATAAAGAGACTGCGTACGAACGCAGGTCTGGTGTAAACAGCTGCGGCTGAGCGAAAACGCAGGCCCTTGGCCGCGCCCCTGCCAGAACGGGGGGCCCGCAGGAACGAAAACATGCATTCGGAGAATCTGGTTTGTGCTAGCATCCTACTGGATGAGTGGGTTTCCGGTAAAACCGCGACAACAAAAATACCCTCAAGTAGGACACACGCAATTGATGGTAGTTCCCCAGCAGCTGGAAGCTATGGGGTCGTCTTTGCCCAAATAGGCTCGATCGGGGTGGTTCGGGGCAGCTTTTGGGGGAGGGTTCAAAAGGAGAGCTGCCGGGGCTGTTGGGGATACCACCTGGCCAATATGTTCACAGCCAAGGATTCATGTGAAAACAATGCGTGGGTCCAATTTGAAGCGAGGCAAAGTACCTCACGCAGGACGCGTCCTGAGTGGATTGTCCAAATCTAAGGTTTGATTCCATTCTGTTCACTCATCCTTCTCTTTAGAAACCACCTTTTTGAAGAGAAGGATCCCTGAAGAGAATGGGGAGGGTACCAGAACTAAGCAGGGATCCGGATGCATTATACACCTGAACATTGCAAATTGTAAATGGTGGTTTCCCTTTATTTTGGTGTTGAAAAAGCCATGTTTCAAATGGTTGCGAAATGGAGATCTTTTAAGGAGCCCTGCTAAGACGCTCCAACTTTCAATGACCAAAGTCTCAACGGAACTCGGGAAGTGGGGCATCCTCGTTCGACTGAGCTGAGAGGCGGATCAGCGCTTCAAAGGTTCGCCCATCTCCGAACCTGCAGATCCCAGTTGCAACCCGAGAGAATCTGGTAGAAACAAAAAGCCCTTCTTGGGTGTTCTCCGGAAGGCATCAGAAGAAAAACGGAATTGCTGAACAACTGGGCTATCCTATGTTGCATTGGGGATAAAGAGGAATGCCCTTCCCTCTTCATTTCTCAGTTTGCTTGGGGACCCAGGAGCAAAAGGTTAACCTTTTGAGGACCATGACTACAAATGGACCACAAAGGGAAAACCCAAAGTTTAGAAGGTCGGCTTTGGGCAACTGAGATTTGGTGCTGCGGCAATTCGCACAACTTCTGCCCATGTCAAGTGATTTGGGCCCTGCTGTGGCGACTCGATCAATAGCACAGGTACTGCCGCATCACTCAGCCTGCAAGCTATTGGTCAAGGCCGCAACTCAGTTGCCACTCAGGGACCCTCTCAAAGAAAAGGTCAACCTTTTGGGGGTCATGACTAAAAATAGGCCAACATTGGAGAACAAAAAGGTCAAACAGTCGGGCAACTGAGAGACCCTGTAGTCAAGTGCAATCAGTCGGCATCGCTGCAAATGTGCGCGTTGCCTCACAAACCCTTTCGATTGGTGAGGCTAATCACGGGTGGTGTCCCTGTTGTTGGGGAAATGATGCATCTACTCGGTTGTTTTCTGCTCCCCTGCAGAAAGTTTAACTTCTAGTGGTTTAGTACGGACTACCCATTAGTTGGCAAACAGTTAAAGTCCTAACATCCCTTGGCAAAATGCAACAAAGATTCACATCCAACCAGGGACCAGGAATCCGACTCTGATTAGCACGTGCAGTCCTCCGAGCTCCTGCGTCGATGCCCGATGCCTGCCTACCCTCTCGCAACTACAAATGGAAGTGCGGAGGCCTGAAGGGGAAAAGAGCATGCATCTGTGTTTCTTTGTATTTTAGCTTTTTCTTGTGGGAAGGTCGTAGCAGGTCTGAGCCGCTGGCCTACCCGCAATGCTGTCATGGGTAAAGCGGATGTCCTGCACAGAATGCGGGCCTACTTCTGGAGCTTTGGCGCGGAAGGTCACAACGAAAGCTGTCAAGCTGCACGTGGGTCTGTGAGTTTTTAGGGGAACCCTCTGTCGGTTGATTTTGGAAGCCAACAGGAAAGCCACCCCGTAAAGATAGCCACTCCCATAATAAATGGACACGTTTCTTAGCACTGGCTGATTCATGGCCAATGGCAGGCATTGGAGTGAATGGGACCTAGTTCGCTGTCACACTTCTCCCGCTAAAGCCAAGGCAGCTGTGCTGTTTGCAAGGAAGGTAGTGTTCTAGGGGTTGATTCCCAATTCTTTTCAACCATCGTTCTGTTCAAAAACCGGCTGTTTCCCCTGGGTGTTTGATGGTTTCCTGAAAAGAAGGATCCCTGGAAAGAATGGGGAAGGCGCCCCTAGAAGCGTGTAACTTGGCACAGTGTGCAATCATGCATGGCCCTGAGCATGAGCCAATGAAGGCACTTGGCAGCGGGCTGCACTTATCAGATTTGGATGAGTTTGTATTTTGAATCCTGACAAAGCAGCCGGCCCAAATGAAGTCCACTATCCGATGATCTCGTGGTGTGCTCGGATCCCACCACGGCAAGGGAATCAAAAAGCCTCTTGGATGGCTTTGGAAAGAAAATAAATAAAAGCCAATCACCTGAGTGGTGAGTCCTTTGTTTGGATTTGGACCCCACAAAATGGTTTCGTTTCTGTTTTTGGCTTCCCGCAGAACTAAGAACAACAGGCACCATCAAAAAAGACCAGCCACGTGAAGGAACTCGACACTTCCCCTTCGCCCCTCAACAAACACGCTGCACCCAAACACAATATCGGAGGCCCCCGGCCATGAGGTCTACGAGCTCTGTCTCTCGCTCGCGGTCCGGCCTTGGGGGTTAAAACGAATTCGCATACCTTGCAAACTACCGTCCCACAAATTAACAGCCGGAACCTGACAAAAACCCGGCCCCGTTAAAAGCAGAATGGTCTTCCAGAACCCCACTGGTCAGAAACCCCATGCTAATTGAAAAGTAAAACTACCCCTCCAGAAACAGGTTGATGATCTGTTCCCAGCTGCCCCAAAGGTTTAGCCATTGGTGGCTTAGTGCAGAAAAATCCTGGGAGCCAAGGTTGGCTTGCGGGACCCAGGTTAGCTCAGCCCCTTCCTGCGCCTTTTTGGGGCGCATGGGTCCCAGCCTCGGTTTGGGCCGTTCATGTGGGGGTTTCTGATTTGTTTGGAACCGCTTGAATTTCGGTTAAGCAAAACTAAATGAAACCAAACGCTTGGAAGTGTCTCTACTTTTGAGAACCCCCCCATTGTCCAGTAAAATCCAGAAACCCATTGAAACAAAAAGGTTTCAGAAGGCACGCGCCGCCTTTTCTCCACTGGCGGTGGTCCAGCAGGTGCTTTCGACCTAGGCCGCAAATGGGAAGTTTGCCCTCAGATGATTCCCCCGCTACCTTAAAGGGGACCCCCCACAATTCCCATGTTCTAGTCCCCACAGAAGGGAGATGGAATTCTAACTGGAGATCTCCAGGGTTTCAAAATCCCCCCTCCCCCTTTTTGCCATTTTCTAACCGGGCGCATGCGTTCACTGCCGAAAGCTTCATCTGCCAACCTGAGGACCTGACATCCTTTCGGGGGTCTCAGGTCACTCACTTTGCCGAGATGCTAGGGAGCTAGCACCCACAGAACACGGCCGAAGGCTTCTAGCCTCAGTCAGTGGGCTAGGCGCCAAAAGGCGGCTGCTTGGGTTCGTTTGCTGCCTTGCAGTTTGACCTGCCCGTGGCATTGCGCATGTATGCACCCATATCATATATGTACATACTTCCCAATTCTCACGACTGCCGCCCGGGCCTTCAAAATGGGGCTGATTGAGGGCCCTGGGCTGTCCATAAGAGGGTCGGACCCTCCCTAGGAGGGTCCATGAGCATCTGGGTTAAAACCAGCGTCCTCGTACAGGTCCTACGTCATCACGTCTGCTGAACATCGTCAGGAGTCCAAGAATCAGCCAGTGACGACAACACAATCGTTTTCCCACTGCAGTGCGCTGATTCCGACCTTCAATGGCTCGAATTCATACCAGGCCGCCGGGACCGCTGGTGTCACCTCGGCTTCACCACAGGTTTGAACTGGAGTTCTGGCGGGACAAAGTGGAACAGGATTTCCCTGGCTGATGAATCGAGGATGTCCCATTTTAGAGGGCATCCGTCACTTTTGGAGCCCTATTGATCCACAAGGTGGATTCACGTGGTCTTGCCCCATCATGCTTGTGTTCCGCGGGATAAATGTGTGGTTCTTGTCCATGCTTGTGTTGGGGCGCGTTTTCAACAAGCCGCGGGCGAAAAAGAACGACGCAACAAGGGAAGAATGAGGTCACCCATCATTCTTCGAGTTGAACATGTTGTGCATCTATGGCAAAGCACAGCCAACCACCCCCACCACCTCAACCGCTTCGTCATGCTTTCGCCAGCTGTCATTCTTTCGTCCACCCACCCCACCCATTCAAATCTGAAATCTCGGGAAGGGTAAAGGCGGGTCATCCGGCCCAGCAACAGAAGCCTCCCCTCACGTGGCCTCTCACAGGTGGGCATCTGGGTGCCTGGCCATCTTGGAGGCTGGCCCATCTTTGGGAAGCTCCTGCGACAATCTGCGGCTGCCAGGGCGAAGTGGGCCTGTCATTTTAGATATTTTCAGCATGGAATGCTGGTGACAAGGCAAAGCTTCAAGCAAAGTTGGGGGCCAAATAAGCGTTGGGGAGTGTAAAAGCAGCAGCCATGGCATACTTATCTGCTTATACCAGGCCACTTGAAGTGGACAAATCATGTGGCTGTGGGTCAAAAATTGGTACCCAACATGGCACCATGCTAAATGGAGACAATGACTAAAACCAGTGGTCCCCTGGTGGTTCAATGTTGACGCATATCCATGTGTGGATGTGTTTAGGTAAGGGCAGCCCGAAATGAAAACAAACGTCCAGCTCCCCGAGCAGGTTGTCTTTTTGGAGGGTCGCCTTTTCGTTGTGCACTTCCCCCCCC